TGTTTTCTCAACTGCTTGACCTTAATGTGTCTGCGTGTGAAACGAGGGCACGTTCGCCCAGAAGGCGTCATCGACGACAAACGAACCAAACAGTCTGGGTTTCGTTGCACTTTTCTACATTTTCACCAGATAACACGACACCGAAAGTACTCAACCTGTCTGTCCTCTCCGCTGTCTAAAAATACTGTTTCAATGCAACCGCTACAGAGAAGAAAAAAAGAAGTCGAATTGCTGGCCTATTTTGTATTAAGTGGTCTGCTAATTCCATCAGGACCATCCATAATAAAAATAGGGCCACTTAGGGTGCTGGAAGGTGCTCTGAATAAAACTGCTCATCATCATATGACAGGTGCGACGATGATGATGATACTGGTTCGTAGAGGAAGAAGAAAAAGTTATTTAGCTTAACACTCAGTTTTAAAACTTTATTTTGAACAGAGCTGCAGTAGGTGGCAGGTGGGTGAAACAACACCACCTGTTTCCGGCGGAGTTGTCCTCGTTTCGGCTGTTACAGGTGCAACGGCGTAACGTGGGAGAAAAATAATGGGTCTGGACTGAAAAATACACTCAAGGAAGCATTAATTGTGCCAACGTTGATCCAGCAGCAGATGCGGTTTTAGCGGCGTAAGCTGTGGCAGAAGCAATAGTAGCTATAAAGTCATAAAAATGGTAATGAAGTCACAGTTTAAGTGGCCGCAATCACAGGAACAGTAGCGGCTGTGATATCAGCGGTGCTAAGATTGATATGAGAGGCAGTTGTTTAATAGGCCTCACATCTGTACCAGGCGGACGGCAGAGGACAACCGCACGGGCGAGCAGGACTGAGTTCTGTGCAACTTCCTGAGATAATTTGAGTGTTTCTCCTGCAACACACACACCCCGTCACAAACACACACCCCGTCGTTCAGACAACACACCGCGAGAGCGCTCACAAACTGTTTGGGAGACAAATTGCACAAAGGCCAGAAAGTGAGATGTAAGAGGGCAGAAGTGTGAAGCTGCAGGGATCGTAAGTAAGTAAGGAAAAATGTACAAAACTTTAAAGAGGACTAAAACTTTTCTCCCTCCTCCCATCGCCGCCTCCATTCACACTCGTTAATCTCTCTCGCGGTACCCTCCTTCTCTCTCTCTCTCTCTTCTATCAGGAAAAACAGAATGAGGGTAGAGTTAGCCTGGAGGCAATCCTATTTAGATCAGCTATTTTGTAATTCCTTTTTTTTCTGCAGCAAAAAAAAACGTTTTTTTTTTTCCCCTAGAGGGACACATCAGGGCCCTGGCGGCTCGTTCACTGTCTATGGGAATGCAGGCTTTCTAAAAACATGGGACGAGCGTGGCAGAACCATTCAGGCTATAAATGCTACGGCATGTTTGTTCGGTCCGTGTTCTTCGCCGTGTATATCCGTCCTCCGCTCGTTCACTGAGCTCGCAGCAGCACAACCGGCTTTCTGACTGGCCTGCATTTCCACAGCAGCTATTTTTAACTCGCATCACATTAAAGGTGTGAAACTTTATCCCGAAGACAAAGCACAGGCCAGAATTTTCCTCATGTGTTCCCACTGTGAGCCTCCGAAGCTCAGAGACAAGTTTGTTATTTTAACCCTCTGAACCGCAAAACCTCCCCAACGGCAGGTTTTCTTTAAAAGAAATCACCAAAAATCCAACAATTAATCAAAACCATTAACTGTAAAAATAGAAGGAATGATCAGGTTTTTAACTTTCTGACAGTCCTTGAACTACTCATCTAGAAACAGCACCTAAAAATTAATTGTTTGCACTAAACAGATTCTATAAAAAACACAAAATTCTGCACTATGCAGCAGAAATGTTGAGTTATTCGGGACTCAGCTGCAACCAACAGTCATGTAAGAAAAATTCTGGGACTTTTCAGCTGAACTGCAGGCTGTGCAAGAGAGTGGCGAGTAAAAATGTATGAAACATCCATCACAGAAGAAAGAAAACTTCATTCAAAATCCCAAAACTGACATTTGTAGCTACGCTAGAAGCTAAAAATATGAACTCGAAACTAAATATTTCCCATCAGAATGTCACAGAACTTGTTTCACATGTTTCTAGAGGAAAAAAATCTAATATGATGTTCGTTTTCGCAGCTTGTAATAAACACCACTTCCCATAAGTTGTAGATATTTAGTCTGTAAGCTTGTCAGAGGGGTTGTGGTTTGGCAAAGACAGGAAGGATTGAACAGCAGAAGTTTTTACTCCACAGAGAAAACTGAGTAATTCATTTCGAGGGTGGCGTTTTCTGCATTTTTATGGATCTTGTTTATCCTTATTTATTTTAAACGGTAGCTGTAGTTGTTTTTTAAAGCTCACAAAGTATTCATTGTTGAATTTATAGATGTTCTTAAGGCAACAGATGCTGAAAGAGAGTTTGCATTGAGCTACAGAAGAGTCCGGCCCTGACGCGACGTCATGAGTTTGGATCTCCGTGCTGCCGTTACGCCTCCATACCGTGCATGAGGGTATTATTTATGAAACAGCTCCCATTCTGAAATATTCATTAAAAAAAAAAATACCACAGATGATTTGTTGGGCCAGTTAGTGGTTAAGTGGTTGACTGGTGACTACATATAGTTTTGGTTGAGATGTGTTTTACTTCAGGCGCTTTGTACAGCCAGCCGGCGGGACTTTTCCCAAAGAAACACACCCACACACACAGACACACACACACACAGTAACCATGATAGCCGGAAGGACAGTCCATCATTTGATTTGGACAAAGTGTTATTAAAACCCACTTAGTCCTGGCTGTAAGAGCTACAAGCTATGGAAACTATGCAGTCTGCCACAGGCTGGAAGAGCCAGCCGCCCCGCAGACATCTGCTTCGAATCTGACCAAAAACAGCCGAGGCCGAGACACACAAGAGAGAGTTTCAGACTACTGTTACTAAGACAGCATCCCTCCCGCTCATTCGTCACGACAGCACACTTAGTTTCATGTCATTACAACCCATCTTCCGTCTCGCAAACAAACTGAACATTTCCAAACAAGCACTGCGAGCAAAACTTTTGGTTTCCAAGGAGAACAACTGTGGCCTGCCAGCGAGGAAAAGCACACAAAGCTCGACATCTCCTCCCTATTGCATAGCTCAACCCAGTCAAGTATAGTTCACTTCTGTGGTACCGTATCAAATTCTAAATCTCGATTGTCGTTGCAACGGGAGAAGTTTCTAATGTGGGTAAAGCTCTCTGAGAAGGCAGAGACGCACCAACCCACTAAAAAGACGAGGACAAAAAAATAAGCAAAAAAGTAAGAAAGTCTAACTTAGTCTAACTTATACTTGGCCTGAAATAAATGTGAAGTCAGTCTAATTAGCTCCATATTTTTTTTTGGACATCATTAAAGTTGCCATGGTGCGACAGGTCCAGTGGGAGGGTCGGCGGGTCGGTCCTGGTTGAGCTAATCTTTAACAGATAACCATACGGCCAACGGTCTGTAATGATTAATTAATCCGAGCCTGCTCACGGCGCCCGTAAGGCAACACAACCCTTCAAATGACAGCCAATTAGGTTTATTGTATTCGGGCTGAAGCTACAGACCTACAGGCCACCACGTAAAGACTTCTTTCCCTGCAAACAGTAATTTGCGGTGACACTGCGAACACGCCCACCCTGCCATGAGTGTACATGTGTGTGAAAAAGAAAAAAAAGAAGTGGGTGAGCAGCAACCAGGAGCCCACTTTATTGAGTGTTTTAGAGAAAACAGTCATTTTGCACAGAACCAAGAGCTCCGATTTCTTTGCAAAAAACACGTTTCTCTCTTTGGGGAGGACGTCACAACAACAACGTGAGCGAGTTGGAAGTGTTTCAGCTTTTTGCAATGACACAAAAGATTCAAATCAACAGATAAATTCATGTAAAACTCAAACGTCCAAGAGATTCTTCAAAATCCAAGTCAATGTTTGGGTCCGTGTGTCATAAGCCTGTTAAATTTAATCCAGTTTGTTATCATAATATGCAGTAGTTTTCACAATGCAAGATATAAAAGAACAAAAGAGCACTTTGAAATTATGTTTACTCCCCAAACCACAGCGGCCAACGCTCTGCAAACATTTGGCTGATAGCTGGAGCTAATTCCCACACTGGGTCAGAACGAGAAGCACAGCAGCTCACTGTGGGCGCCACAGTGGGAAAAGGCCTCCTGAAATGTGGTCAAGGAGCAATCACAGACCTCACCATGAATCACCATCAGATAATCAGCGTTTGGCTAAGGAGAGCCCTGAACTATGGGCTGCATCGTTTCACAGCAGGGACCCTTAAATGGTCTCTCAAGCCCTTTTCACCCGAGAAAGACAACAAAAAGGCCTCTAGCCGGCTGCGTGAGTGGTTGCTCTGAGATGTTCTCACACAGTACAAAGCCACCTAAAAGGGCAACAGGATTGTTTTTGACGAAACCTTTTGTGTCTCCAAATTAAGCCGACTGGATGGATGTTCCCTCTTAGCATTTCCCTGCTGTTTGTTGAGTTCTTGTGCCGTTTCCAGCAAACCGGCTCCTCCTCGTTTTCCGTTACGTGTCGTACCAAAAGAAACTTCAATGCTGCTCACTCAATTTCCCTGCGCTGCTTGAAATTCAAACCATCGACCATCCAGCAAATAGCCCAGTTTCCCAACGCCTTGGATTCTGGAGCTCAAAAGCAAAAACCCGCATGTGCTGAGTGTACAGCAATACAGGGTGTAGAAATCAATAAAGCCCACAGTGGACGAAAACAGCAGCAAAGAGGAACGAAGAGACTGATGAAGATAAAAGAAGAGAATGAATGAGTCAAAGTAGAAAATAGAGACAAGATAAAAAAGCATAAAGGGGCGGGGGATTGTTGATTTCGCCCGGATAGCAGTCCGCCTCGCCGCTCATCGTGACCACCACATCGCACCCTCGCTTTCTCACATCATCAGCAGCAGCAGCAACATTTGCAACATTACACCGGCACAGAGCGTGAAAAACAACCAAGAAGATAATGATAATGATATGCAAAGCTACTCACAAGATCTCGTCGTTTTGAAATTCCAGGACGCCGTGAATGTCTTCGAAGTCCTCGCCGCCGCCTCGCGCCGTTCCCTCCATCGTCTTGTACGGCAGCATGACCACGCCGCGAGCCCCCGACGTTCTCAGCACCTTCACCTCCATGGTGCCGACGCTCTCGCTGACGTGGCATACAGGCTCCTCAAACGTAAAGATACCGGCGTGGTCGTCGTCGAAGATGGTCACGGTCGCTGTGGCCGGTAAGCCGAGACAGGCCACCGAGTCCACGTGATTGGCCGACTCGCCTTCCTCGGGCTCCTCGCCTTCTGACGCCAGCACCTTGACGCTGGAAAGGTGAATCAGGAAGTTTTCGTCCTCCTCAAAGATGTCGTCGTCGATGATCCCCACGCGGATCTCCTTCATCGTCTCGCCGGGCTTGAACACCACCACGCCCTCCGTGAACTCGTAGTCCGAGCCGGCGTTGGCTGTGCCGTCTTCCGTCCGGTACTCCACGGAAATCGTCTTGCCCACGTCGCCGCCGCGCCGCACCACGTTCACCGCCACGGTGCCGCAGTTCTCCAGGCACTGGTAGGAACCCGGCTCGAAAAAGATCTTAGAGATGGGGTCGTTGTCACCAGCGTCAGAGCGGACCTCGTGCATGCTGACGGCCTTCCGTGCCTGATCGGCGGCGTGCTTCTTCAGGATGTTGCCAGCACCTGTCATCAGCCGGGTGGCTTGGCATCGATAGAAAGCGCGGCTCTTCTGCTGCTGGCTCAGGACTTGGTAGTTGGCAAGCTCAATGAGTTGTTCCACCTGGTCGGAGAAAATATAGAACGGCACAGACAGTGTAAGAACATGTCTTCTAGCACGACTACGAAAAGCGGCAGTTTGAAAATGTCGTTCCACCCAAAATGGACCAAAAACCCCTGACTCTCAGACTGATGTTATCTTTGTCAATTAGTCCACTTGGTTTCTGCGGTTGGATTACAAAATTTCATGTCTGGATAAATAAGATCTGGTGGTGTGTCACATGGATGAATCCGACATTAGAAACAGAAAACGGTGATCGTACAATGAGTCAAACTGCCATCATATGGCGAGTACAGTCTGCAGCAAGCCAGATGTCCTCTGCATGCCACACCATCCACTCATTCTTTTCTCTTCGACAAAACGCTGCTTAAAAAACACTTAAAAAAAAAAACATGAATCTCATTTTTATGTGGGTTGCTCCAGTTTGTTTTCGAGTGCAGCATCTTCTTCGCCTTTCCACAAAACAAGCTTTGACAAGCGGCGCAAAGGTGAGATTTATTCTTTACCGAAAGTGCTTCTAAAAGTGTGGTTGTCTGTATTCTCCTCCACCCGAGCGTGAAATTCACTTGTGCACCCGCCGTATAGGAACGCCTGTATTTAGCAACAGTCCACTTCACATACATTTCTGATGCTAAATTTAATTTGTTGCCGACTTTATAAAACTAGTATTTCATGTCTGTAATTAGCAGCGGAGGGACGGAGGAGGGAGAACGTGATATCGCAGTCGGTCTGGATGCTGCTTTCATGCATTCATCGTGGATGTTCTCATTTACATGTATGTTTCTGTCAGATGTTGGAACCATGCCTCTGGTAAATAGGCTGTTATGGTAATCAGCGGTAACTAACATGGCGATGTGCTGCAAATAAAACCATTTCTAAGGCTGGACTGCTTTTTTTTTCCCACTTGGAGAAACATCTAGGCATCTTGATAAACTGTGTTACATAAAACCGTTGCACGTAAGCAAACAAATGAAGCATGTTTTTTGTTCTTTTTAAAGAACGCTGGATGCATGGAGACAGTAGACAGAGGGACAAAAAAAGACTATATTGTTCTTTCAGCAGACAACAGTTAAAAAGAATTTCTGGCTGGCAGGTATAAACTCCCAGAGGTTGCATAGAAAATGAAGATGTAGTTGGGAAAGGGGAACCGGTTTCTGAGGATGCAGCTCCGACGAGATGCAGATGATGTCACTTGATTTCGAGGCGTGAGGTAAGAACCCAACTGATTAATGAGCCTCATTGTTCATCCATTTAGAGATGTTGGTGAAAAGTGTAGAAGCCTATATCATGTTATTACTTTGCTAGATCCAGCGCACACAGAACAGCCACAGTATTAAAACCATGTGTCTGATGTTTTGTAAGTTCCTCACATGCTGCCAAAACATCTGTGACCCATTGGTGAGTGGACATGGGAGCCCCTGGATGTCTGGCACCGGGACCCGTTAGGTATAGGTTTGTGGGGGGATCGGGATCGTTCATAATGAAGATGTTTGATGAGATTAGAAGGAATTTCTGAGCAGTTGTTGGGGCGTATTGTCTTGTGCTTGGTCTGCAGCGATGTTTAGGTGGGTGGTGCATGTCGAAGCAACATCCAGGACCTAAGATCTCCCAGTAGAACGCTGCATTGTAATGACATGATCAATGTTTTTTACCTCACGGGTCGACCTGATGAGACTCTCCATGTTAACAAGAAGACTGCAGCAGTGACACAAAAACTGATTCCTGTAGTTTTTTTTCCATGCCCAGCAATATCACAATTGTATTATGTGTGTTTATTTTTCTATTTACACATTGTTCTAATCGGTGCTCGGTTTCCCTTCGTAATTTTCTTTCCTTAGATTTACCTTTATCAAATTAATCCGAGGCTGTGATGAGACCAGAGCTGCATTCATCACCATAATCACCGTGATAATGAAAGCAAATGGAAGGTGCATCATCTGCTGCTGATTATTTTGTCATTTCATTTCCTGCACAAGAAACAACACGGAGGGAAAAACAACCCCGACAGGGGCGGCAGCGACGATAAATCACTCTGACTTTGTTACCAACCTCCTTGTCAGGGTGTTTCTGTTTGAGCTCCTTCAGGATCTTGGCCATGTCTCTGCGGGTCTCCTCCTCATCCAGGTCTTTCTCATCCAGATCCAAACCCAGCGGACCGTCCAGGAAGTCAACGCCATGAGAGTTCAGCATCTTTCCGTCCATCTCGATGTCCACCTTGAAACGGATCGGGAGAACATGGAATTAGTGATCTGAGCCTTTTGAATCTTAAAGTTCTCTTCTGGTTTGTGCACAAATCAGGAAAAACTTCAAACAACTTGCAATCAGAGACACAAATGCACAGTTTCTATGGATACTACCTTATGTTACACATGCACATGCCTGGTTTTATTATAGAATTCAACAGCAGCTTTTCTTACTGATGGTGTTTTAAAACTGAACCTTCGTAATGGGGACACTTCTTCATAAAATAATAAGTTTTGTCTGTGGTTGGGCTTCACAACTAATCTCACATTAATCACAATCGCCATTTTGGCTTTCCACAATTGAATTAACATAAATCATATTTTTATTTGCTTCCTCTGTGTATGAAAAACTCATAGAAAACAGGCCGTGGAGATAAAACCACTTGGTTTCTATTTGGGTAAATCTGACTACAAAGTGCCTTATTTCAATCTTTTTAAAGTAATTTTCAGTCTGTCTGAGTTGGATGTGCTGCAGTACCTGAGTGGAGACTAGAGGCTTCTCTGTGCACGATGTGGCACCAACCTAATTAGAGTCTACCTTACCCTGCACATGAGGCGTTTATGGAACACTGGTAAATTGTAGCGTCTACGGATAAACAGATATTTAACCAGGGAGGCGTCTTGAGTACAGTTTTATTAGGAGATGTGGTGAATTCGGGTACAGAACCTCATTTTAGGTCTACTTCTGACTTTCATGCATTAGCAGAAATGTAGCTCAACATGGAAGTAAAAAAAACAATGCGCTATTTATTTAAATGTGAAAGTGCAATAAAAACATTTTGCCCCTAAAATCAGTAAATAATCATGAAAAAAACTGAGTTCAACACCGTTCAGAATAATAGGTTTTCCAATAATCCTGCATCCCTCGGCTGTTGTGTGATTTAGCGGTTTAGAGTGTTCAAGTCAACTCAGGTGAAGACGAGGTGACAGATTTTTGTTGACAAATCTCCAAATATAAATGTTAACGGCACACGTGACGGGTTTTAATGGACGAGTCGACGACGTGTTAGTCATCAGCGTTTGAATGTCACTTTAGCTTCGCGGCGGCCTGAGCAGAGAGGTTGTTTTGTTGTTCACTGCCGTCAGATTTTCCTCTGAGAATGATTTTATTGATGAAATGTCTTTTAGCTCTTTAAACAAGACGGCAATTTAAAACTTCTCAATTATTAAGCTCTTCCCTCAGGAGCTGTGGTGGGTTTAATTCAACGATTTCTTTTCGCTCAAAGTTGAAAGTGCTCCTAACGTACTAATGGAGCGCCGATTCTTAATAACATCATCAAAGAACTACAAGCTCGTAATAACATAAGCAATTTTCAAATTTGGACGCCGAGACGCTCTGAATGCACCGAATGAGCGGTGAGTAGACGTCCGCTGCACCACGATGCTGAAAATTTAATTAAGATGAGTGGGATGCACTGCATCTCCGCACAAAGCACCAGATAGTAATCAAAACAGGAAATTAAAACACGGCGATACTTGAAAAGTTATCTGCGTGTGTTTGCAATAATATGTTTCCCAGCATCGGTTTACCTTGGCAGGACTCCATCCAGCAATGCAGATAAGTGTTTCAGATACACGTTACCCATGAACTCACTTCCGCCTACACCTTATCTTTTCACCGTATGTTTGAGAAAGGCCAGCCTAATTAATTTTTACTGGCTGGCTGTTCCCTAAACTGATTCAACAAAAGCGAGCCCCCGAATAACAAGACTGCTGGATTCTATATAAAATAAAAGCATTTTAGCTTCTGAAGTGCCAATAAATGAGAGAGCTAGAACAAAAATCCAAAAGCGACGACAGGCCAGAAGATGAGCCGTGAGATGTTTAAACAAGCTGTAAACAAGGAAAGGTCAGGCTCATTATCTAAACCACTTGATTTGGATGAAAACCAGAAAGTGAGCAAACGTATGATAATAAATGACTCGCTGGACAGGAAAACTCTACATGCAAATGATGCCAAAGTACAGCAGGTCAGAGTTGGATCGGCGAGACAATCCATAAACCGTGATGAAGGATTTTTAGCTTTTCTCTTTTAATTTAGTTTGGCTGAACCAGATGTTTGTTTCAAACCGCTCTGTCTTTGCATGTGTCTCCTTTCAGCACATGTCCAGGTGAAAAACGTCACTTTTTCATGAAGCTTCTAGAGTTCGGGGAACATTTTCAAGGTTGCAGAAACAACTTGTAGCAGCCGTGCAATAAACAAATCAGGAATTTGTGCATCATGTTGCCTAAACTAAACACGGCATCACAGAAAAGGTGATGCCTCTGTTTTAATGTTGAAAGACTACAGTGATGACACACACAACAGCTGAACAGCTTTTGGTGAATTCAGGTGCAATCAGAGACAGTAAAGAATATTCATAAACATCTCAACACAGACTCTGCAGCCAGAGCTACAGATAGCGACTGGAGCGTCTATTTACTCAGTTAACAGGCCTTTACTTGAGGCAGGCCTTTATTTCTAAATCCCTCCATTTAATGAGTAGCATTTGTCATATTTTAGTACAGAGATTTGTTTTAATCTGCTCCCATTTGTCTCCTTGAACTAAACTCCATTAAGGCCTTTACCACTGCAGGAAGCAGCGATTCAGACTTTAGAGGAAGCAGTGATGCAGTCTGGGTTTCTCATCACAGCTTTGGCTCTTCACAGCAAGCACAGATCTTAGCTAACGCTGGGATCTCACAATGAAGGAATATAAAACACAACTGCACCTTAAACATAATGGAACAGGAATAAAACAATGAAATGACGTTCTTAATATAACAGACTGAGGAACAGCCTGGAGCCCGGAGCCACGAGAGAATGAAGTCCTGTCAGACTGCCTGAGTGCCTAAAATGTAATTTCAACTACCTACTTATGCACTTTGTATTTATGTATGATGCACTAAGATGTTATTGATTAATTAAAAGGAATGAAATTTTATTCGTCACTATTCTGCAAACCCAGAACTTCCCTGGTGCTCCCACAGGTGACGTTACAGTCTTGTTGATGCACCTCTTTTCATTAAAGGGCTTTAACTGTGCAACATTTGCACGCCTAACATACGCAATAACAGTGGGACGAGATCATTTGTTGCACAGCCTGTATTTATGCACATGCACTACCAGCCACTATCAGAGACTTTTAATTGACTCTTGCTTTATATTTGAGGAAATACAGCAACAACGAGTCGTGATAAACCTGAAGGCAAAAGCAGTGAAGTATGCTAGTGTTCTTGGAGGCATTAATTGTTAAGTAGAAACCTGTTAGTGTTGATGTCAGTGAGCATACCTTGGAAGGCAGTGGACGGTCGCCCTCGGTCTCGATGATCATGCCGCGCTGCTTGCCGGTGCGGTAGCGCTTGTACACGTACTTGTAGAACAGCAGGCGGCGGTCGGCCACCCAGGCGAACACCACGCAGATGGGGAAGAAGAAGAAGGTGAGCAGCCCCTCCCACACCTGCACCACGCCGGGCGAGATCACCGACAGGATCAGGTAGAGCCAAATGTAGGCGAAGATACTCCAGGTGGCCGTGACGAAGAAGACGCGGAGGTGCTTGACCTTCCTCGTCTCGCCGTCGGGCACGACGTACACGCAGAGCCCGATGATGACGAACATGTTGAACGCCGCCGAGCCCACGATGGTGGAGGGGCCCAGCGTGCCGGCCTGAAACCCGTGGCCCACGACCTCTATGACGGACAGAAGGATCTCAGGAGCCGAGGAGCCCAGAGCCATGAGGGTGAGGTTGGAGACGGTCTCGTTCCAGATCCGGACGGTCGTAGTGGTGGTTTCCCCGTTGGGTTTCTTAATAGTGATCTCCTTCTCCTGTGACGTGATGACCTCTATTGATGCCATGAAACGGTCTGCAATGATCGACACGCCCAGGAACATGTAGACCAGAGCCACGAAGTAAACCGTTGCCCGGGCGACCTTGTCACCGAACGACGGGTTAACGGGTTCCCAGACAGGTAGAACCACCCCCTTTGAACACTGCTCAGCCTTGCTGCATTCAGTTTTGTTGGTGGACACCGCCATGACGGAGCCGCCCAAGTTCGGCTCAGGGGGGGCGCCGGCCAGCGAGGGTTGGAGCTTGAGGAGGAGAATCACCGCGACGACCGCCAGCCTCAGCGCCGGGGACAGGACGGAGGAGTGATCCCAGCGACCCATGTTGATGTCGAGATCGGTTCTGTGAGGTGGCGATTAATGAGGAACCTTCAGAGAGAAAAACACAAAACAAGTGGACAACGTTCAGATTATTCATCACACATAAAGCGAATGTAGTTTAAAGTAGTTTTTCACTGCATAAAGTTTTATTATTTCACGATTCAGGGTCTGTTAGGTTTGAAACATTATCTTTAAAAGAAAAAAAAGGTGAAAATAACACAATTTATTGAAGACAGGCAGTGAAAACAGAAACTGGATTTTCAACTTCCCATCAGTCCTTGAACTACTCGTCTGTCATTCCACAGGAAACAAACGAAAGCTTACAATTATGATGTTTCATCGAAGTCACTTTATTCTTAAAAAATTGCCAAAAATAAAGCATTCACAGCAACCAAATTCTGTAAAAAGAAATAAAATAAAATAAAATAAAAACTTCCTTGCTCCTCGACAGGACTGAGAGACCATTAGTGCTTCAGTCGTGACCAACAGTCATGTGACAGGAAGTTGGGGAGTTTTTGGCTGATCTGGGCTGAACTGCAGGCTGTGCTTAAACAGAGCATGACACAGATAAACTAAAAACACAAGTAGTAAAATATCTATCGTATGTGGGGCTCCATTTTTTTTTCTTGTACTGTTAACACCTGCGCTTGGTTGGAAAACTACTGTACTTGTTGATTCAAAGAAATTCAACTTTCTGTTATGACTCATGATGCACAGAAGACATGTTTGGTTCTGTCTGCTTCCAGCCATAGTTGTGCTGTTTCCACAGAAGTGAAGGACTGGGTAAGTAGAAATGTAACAGGATCTGAAAACACCCAGAGACTAAACGATGTCAGACACAGATTTCCCCACCTCACCATGGACGATAAGAACCAACTCATCCCTCTCATAACAACTTCAAATAAGGAGCTGTGTGGGTAACAACTCCGGTTTATATATTTATTTAACCTAAAGTCAACACTAAATCAGCAAAAGGTCAAATCTGGACCTGGCTCTGCAGACACATGAGCCTGCTCACTATGCAACACTAAAAAAATACAAAAAAAATAAACAGCCAAGTTCACCTGGAGGCATTTAGACGTTTTTGAAAACACCACAAAAATGAAAACATACGTTTCAGGTAAAGTGTTTGCATAGCTGTTTAGGGGCAGCGAGTTCAAATAACCACACCAAAGATAAACTCCGGCTCTGAGCTCAGCGCCGTGGGTTCCTCAGGAGAAGCTTCTGAAATGTTCCTGTTGAAATAATACTCCACCTGACTTACAGTCTTTTAAAAAAAAAAAGCATATAACCATAAAATGGCTATAAAGCTTTGACAATGTCTCACAGTCTTGAGAAAAATGTGACATTATGAGAATTCACTGGAGATCTGTTTTATTTTATTGCGTTCGCTTTAGTTTTGTGATTTCAGATGTTTTCCGAAAAGCCTCAGCTGTCGGATTTTCATCCAGGAGACGAAACGTAGTAAATCTTGCACCTGTGTTTCATTCAGGTCTGTTAAACAGGGTGCTTTTCCTTCATGGCATCACTGAAACACTTGATATTTTGGACGTTCTCCCGGTTCTGTGACGTAAAATACGCAAACAAATGCAAACGCTGATCCTTGTTTTTACGCCTTCAGGCTGCCGCTGTCATCGAGAGCACACATCCCAACGCTGGGAATTCAAATCAGTAATTCGATTTCGATGTAACTGCTTCCACGCAAACAAACTGAGGCAGAGAGGAAAGTAGGAACAACATCATTTGTTAAAAATCAGTGTCAACATCTCCGTAGCCAAACACACAACGCAGATACCATTTGACATAGATGTGTGTGGTTGTGTATGAATTTGTGCAAATGTATGAATTCAAGCAGAGTAATCACCACCATCATGATAAACTTTAGCTCTTTCTAGAGTGCAAAACAAAAAGCAAACATCTCCGAGCTAATCTGGACAGCATCATGTTTCCTACAACAACATACCTGCTGATGCAAACTTACTGCAGCAGCAACGTTCTGGGAAACAGGCTCGCTTGGTGATTTAGTGCGTAGCAGCCAAATGACTATAAGAACCAGGCCACAAGGGAGCAGCACAACAGACGACATCTAAAAGTATAATCAGCAATTTAAAATCACTTCTAAATGCACAGCGTTCTACGTCAGGTTTACACTGACACAAATCCTGTCATGGCGTAAAAGAAAAACAACAAATAAAAAATGCAAACACCCTGCCACACAATAGAGGCGCGTCCACACGGATTTTGCATGTTTGTCTGCATATTCCTTACATCAGTGTTTGCATCTCACCTGAAAATAGAGGCTAGAATATAAATCAGCGATGTTGTTCGACTCATGACACTGAAATTATCTCATGATCATATAATGTTCTTATTTAATAACATTTTGTAGTTTATGTGGAAAATACGGAACAAACTAGAGGTAAAAACCCAACTCGACCCTGTATCACTTCATAACACACTGGGTACCCGTCATTTAGCGACAGACAGGAAGTACGTCATGGTAAATAAGGTGTTAAAAAGACCAACAAAGTCATCACCATGGGAAGTAGGACTGGTCGTGGCAATCTATGTCAAACACTGGCTTTCACCCAGGTGATGACTTTGCCTTAAGTTATTAGATATTTGGTTAGGTCCACCAAATTACTAGGGCTGGTCCAAACAGCTACTTCTGGGCTTATTCAGGCCCAATTAATGACGAATATCCGAATATTGGTGGACGAATGTTTGGGATCTCAAAATTGATATCTGGATGCCACCACAACGACCGGATATTTGGATATTCAAATGTTCGGGTCAAGCCCTACAAATTACTTGAATAAAATCTAGGAAAAGATCCTGATTTTGGTTAAAATACACACTGATTACAATCACATGCTAGAACGTAAACTTTTTCTCCAACAACCTCCTGTCCAATCTAATATATGATTGGCTGCCTGAAAAGGAACAACAGTGACATTAATAGGAAACAACATCCAGCTGCGATCTCACAGCGTCGATTTCAGACACCGAGGGATTTCTACAGAAGACAAGTCGTCAATATTCCAATAAACAATTTCCCTGAAGTTCAACAATTTCCCTGAGGTTCTACCAAAGGGATCAATAAAGTTCTATCTATCTATCTATCTATCTATCTATCTATCTATATAAAACACTACCCATTGCATCAAAAAGTGACACTAAGGGGTCGTGACCAAGCATTCGTGTCAAGTCAGGAGTGAGACTTGGCTGAAAAAAGGTAAAAAATTAGACCTTCAGGCTAAAAAAAAAAAACATGAAACTAACAAAAACTGCAGTTCCTCAACAGTCCACTAGAGGCTGGTTCCAATAGCGAGTCAATCCCCATAGACCTCCATGTTAAAATGACAAACTTCACAGCAGAAATAAACATGGTTACAGCCTCTTGCAATAAACAGCTTTGGTCTCTGTAGCTAATTTCCCCATTTATGACCATCATACAGGAGGTACGCGTTCATATAACTCGCTAATTTAAACTGTGTTAAGGTTTAAAACTGTGCATGATTAAAGGTGTAGCCGCGGATTTTTGGAGTTGATAGTCAGGTGCCAGGATGAGGAATGAAGACATTCAAAACCACTGCTCCAGGACCGTCTGGGTGATGTCAGGGAGGATTCATTCATCTTCACATATGAATCAGACACAGATGTTGCTGCAGAGCCAGAGCAGGCTGGCATTCTACCAACATACATGATGATGATGGCGGTCCTCCCTCTCTACCACTTTGTTAACTTTAAGAGAAACCACGGCTGCACACACAAGCAGTATTTCTTTAAATCAATAAGCCCCAAAACAAAGATTGATCAAGAACTCCAGACAATCCTCTTCCAGCTTCCTGCGTGCCGACATTCATTTCCCATTAATTAAGCATTTGCACCCTTACATGCAGACACAGCACAGTTAACCAGCCATCGATAGTCACATTAGTTCTTTCCTCCCGAAATACTCATTATATATATGAAGCTGGAAGTCCTCCAACTACTTGAATTACATTTCTGAACAAATTGCATGCAGCCGAGCTCAGCGGCCACGAGGCGCTGACACTATTTAAAGCTAAATGACCAACACAGAATCCACCGGGGACGAGACCAACGTGTGAATGTTCACTGAAGACATACAACATGCGGCGCAGACGGCATGTGTGTGCTTCTTGCCTAATGGCGCTGACAGACACCCGCTACATAAATCAGTTGCTGTGTAATGCAATATCAGTCCACCGATGGCGCATTTAAATATTTGGGTTGAATAAACCGAGGGTGACAAGTGTTGGGTCTGGCTGTGGTGCTGATGTGTACTGAGTGGGCTCAGCTGTGGTCTGAGAGCTTTTTGCTCAGACGCTAAGAAAGTCAAAAAAAAAAATAAAAAATGACTTGTCGACTTCATTCAGCTTCAATTGGCTAAGCTCATAACCAAACATTTTCCTCCCGGTTAATGGCAGCCAGCAGCTCCTTGCCTTCCGCGGCCTTTTGTGTGTGTGGTCACACAAGGCTTTATGTGGCATTTCCAACTGATCAATAATTCAGTGAGCTTTGGGGATTTGTTTTTTTTTTTTCACTTAAGGATGTCATTTTTCCTCACAGGCTAATGGCTAAACAGAATCCCCTGAGCCAGCTGTTCTCCATACAATGGAGCGTGTTCCCTGCAGCTACACTGCACCGGCGGAGGTGGTGAGGTCCATGAAATCTCGGAAAATGGAAACCGTTGGAACAGTAAATACGGTCGAATAATCCACGGTAAGAGCACAAAAAGAGAAATGCGTGAATGGAAATGCAGGATGCAGTATAACATCCTGGTAAATTAGCTGTCAGTGGCAAATCCCATAACTTCCTCCCGTGCTATGACATGCCATCGTAATGAGATGTGGTACCAGCTGGAGTCTAAAAAAATTCACCACAGGTTGAATAAAAAGCTGACAGTTTATTTCTTTTTCTATGTGCGCGCCAGCTAATAGGAAGTGAAGCTGATATTACTGGTTATTGGTTTGAGCACTTGCTGTTCTCGGTGCTATTTACGGAGTTGGAATGGGATCGTGTTT